GATTTTACTTAGTTGTGAAACTACCATACAGTACATAAAATTTTTAATTCTTGTTTGCTTGATAAAGTAACAATTGAGATTTAATTAATCCAATTGATTTCCATTATAAGTAATTAAATTTTAATGTATGAAAAAAATTATAGTAATTATTAAATCTTAATTAAATATTTAAAAAAAATTCAAAAATAACGAGGTCATGTCAGACTTCAATGGGTCACATTGCGTCCAAGTATGTTGTGAATCCATTCATACTAGAGAACCATTAGTTTTTAACGAAATATTGACATGGTGGTTAAATAAAGATTGATTTGCCACGGTTCATGAGTTTAAGGGGTCATTTGCTACTGATTTCAGTTGAGAAGCTTTTTTTCCACCTCTTGACATGTTCAAGGGCTAATGTGCATGATTAGCCTTTGTAAATAGGGACAGATCTGATCCACCCAACAAAATAGGAATAAATTGCCTGTAATCTTTTTGAGTTAGACAATTTAAGAAATTTAAAAAATATAGTACTAGGTTCTGATTTTTTTATGGGACCCATTTTTATGTTTCAATGAGAGAAATAGTTTCCACCTAAGCACCAAATTGAAAATTTAGGAGAAACGTTAAAACTAACATAGATAAAATTAACACTTAAGTATTATTTTGATGAAAAGTTAATATCATAAAATATTATTAATGTTAAATTTTGAGTTACTTATCCAACTTAAAAAGATTGTAAGGTAATTTATCTCTTTTTTGTTAGGATGGATCCATGCCTATTGACAAACTGGAGAGGTAAATTTAAATATTTTGCCTAATAAGATATCACATTAATAATATTCATTTTTTTGATGTATCTGATTATGAGTTATATAAGAGAAAATAACTTCTTTTTATTCTCAAATCTCTTTTCACTCAACTCAAATAATATTCATATTTATTAATGGAACAACACCCTAATATTTATGACTTTTACTTATAATTAAAAAATTAATTTAGTACATTTTATTAATTATTTTAATTACAAATAAAAGTCACACATATTCATATATTAAGATTCGAAAAAAAAAAATCAATTATACAGTATTCTATTATATGAAAAAATTTATTGTTTCATTGGTGAGTTTTCAAATAAAAGAATAATTAAAACAAAAACAAAAAAGTGCATTGGAAGTCGGTTGCCTATTTGAGCGTTAAATTTTATTGTTACGTGTCCGCAGGAGAAAGCAAGTGTTGATGAGGGTGCTACTGGGCGAGTGCCCTTAGCATTGCTCCTCACAGATTCATAGATAGCAAAATAGAATACATCAAAGATTTCACTGTTGAAGCGGCAAGAACCTATATTAAACTCTTAAATTTATTTTAAATTTTTTATTAAATTTTTATTTATATGAATAAGCTTTTGAATTTAATGATTTAAATAATCTATTCATTTTTTTACGATTATCTTAATGTTTATTTATATATTATTTACATAAATAAAATATTAAAATATCATTACTTACATGATAAGTATTAACTTTATTCACGTAAGTAAAATACAAATAGATGTTAAGTTTGTTGAGACGTATAAAATTAAATTAATCAAATTAACAAATTTAAAAATTTATTTATTTCAATAAAATTTTTTTAAAAAAATTTAAGATAAATTCAAAGGTATAACGTAAAGTTTTGCCTATTTGAGCCATGCATTTGTGATCCCTTCCAAAGACAAAATACCCGACCAAATACTTGACTTAATAGAACTCACCATCTTGCAAACTCCTGCTCAAATTCAACCACATCTTTTCTCTATATGGTCTCCCAGATATAATTCAATATGTGGAAGCTAAAGCAGTCTGTCCAGGGGATTTGTCACTCCCATACTGTGAGTTCACCATGAGTCTTAACTTAATTAAGTGTAGCATAAGGTAGTTACTATCTGTGAGTCAACGTTCTCTCTCAACGTTCTTCATGTATCAAAATTCAAAAAAAAATTGACAATGTATCGCCTTTCTGTACAAAAATTCCCTTTAAAAACTTTCTCTTTTTTTTCTTTTTTGACGTTTTTCTTATATGTTTGATATATCTATATGTTATATATTCTAAAAATTGAAAAAACTATTATAATTTTAAAGAAGTTCAAGAGTTGTTGGTGAATGGTTACTTTGTATATTGTACTTTCTTCATATATTGAAATGAAATCTCACTCTTTAGTGGGAAAAAAAATGGTTTTTAAGAGTTGGAACTCAGGTAACATCCATCTTTTTTTGTATCCTCTTGTAACATTTTTTTAATAAAAAAAGCAAAAAAATAGAGTTTAATTTCTGGGATTGGATATTGGGTTTGACTTTCTTCATATATAAAGTTATTTTCCATTCACAATGCGGACTTATTTTCTTTTCACCATTAGTCCTAAAATTTTAAGAGTATGATAGTTTAGTCACAAAAATTTTAAAGTGTTTACAAATAGGCCTGCAAACAAAAAATTGTTAACAACATATTTCTGAGGAGTTTTACCCGGAAGACTGCATTTAGAGGTCGGCCCCCGTCAAATAATTTAAAATTTTGACACTAAACTATTAAATTTTTAATTCTTTAAGGCTAAATGTAAAAAAGTACTCCCTACTTTCACAGTAATAATTATTTTTTTACTCAAATTCAAAATCTATCAATTATTAATGTCTTTTTATATTTTAAGTAAAACAATTTTTTTATTTTAATATTTATTATTATCTCTTGATTTAATTATCCAACCTAATACTAATTTTTTTAACTTTATTCATTTTTTATATAGGTAAAAATAAAAATTATTTCTAAATTTTAAATCTATAAAAAAAATATAAAATAATGATTATTGTGAGATAATAAATGGAGTAAAATCAAATTTAAAAACAATGTTTGAGTTACGCCGCCATGCATAGTTCAAAGACTAGTATTTCATTTTCCCTGCAGGCAAGTAGGTCATTCAGGGGTGTAATTTTACCACTATTAATATAATTAAGATTATTAAAATTTTAATTTTTTAAACTAATATTTAAAAATATTAATTATTTTCATTAATTAAATTAAATAAAATTTATATATTTAAAAATAACATTTTATAATTACTATAACATTATTATTAGTGCCTATAACCTTGCCCCATTCCAAGTTAAAGCCTATCATTTTGGTCCTGATTTTCTTGTAGCGGACATGGTTTCAACACCGAGTACGAGGAAAGCCAACTGACATTCTGCATCTGTTGTATATTTGTTTTTAAAAGCCAGTCAGTTTAGTCTGAAGGTTGTGTACCTTTATAAATAGATCAATAAACAAAATGTTATTTACAACACATTTTCCAAAAGAACCCTTCGATCTCAAATTATCTCGTTATAATTAACTTGTACATAAATTTAAATAATATATTTTATATAATATGTGAATCATAATTAAAAATATTTTTATTATTAAAAAAGTTACTGAAAAAAAACTACATATTAAAAAAAAATTTAATTGTCATTCATATTTTATATAAAAGTATTATATGGAGTTATGTATAAATTTATATATATAGTGATAGATAATTTGATATGAAAGGAGTAGTGATTTAAAAATCCAATTTGTATTAAGACGTCATTTGGTGAAGTTTAAAAAGTATTTGCTTTAAAAGTACTGTTCATATATCATAAGTTTAAAATTTTGTTAGAAAGAAATTTAAAAATTGTCTTTTAAAGTGTATTTTAAATTAGTTTGGTTAAATATCTTTTTTGGTCCCTCTACTATAGGAAAAAGCCCTTTTTTTAGTCCATGTACTGAAAAAATCCTTTTTTTGGTCCTTAAATTTTAAAATCCAGCCCATTTTTAGTCCTTCCGTTAAATTTTGACTGATGTGGCAAGTTAATTAACGAAAAATTTTATTTTATTTTTTACTTAGATTACGTGGAAAATCCATTTCACAAAAGTTAATGACATGGATAATTTTTCTTACCTTTAATTACTTATTTACCCCATCTTCCTCCCCATCCTTTCCTTTCTCTGGTGATAAAAACTGTCAACAATTTCACCTGCACCTCTCTTCTCTTTAGTGGTTTCCATCTAGACTACGTCTCCTCCCAAGCAACAATTATCATTGCCTGCAAAAACAAATTCAACAAAACCCATAGCCTGTCGAAGCTCTGAAACACATTCCAAAACGACCTCTAGTCCACAAACCCATCTTTCCTACTCTATTGTTCTTGTTAGCTGTATAGAGAAAGTTGCTCCGCATGTTGATGGCCACTTCAAACTCCTGAAACACCTTTTGCTCAAGAAATACTCATTAATGTCATCGTAGTTCCTCCAAGCAAAATGCGACGCAGTTCTGTTTTGACTGTCCTCCACTTCCTTCCTTATCGTTTCATAAAACAACATCATTATGTTCTTCAAGAAACCACAATCCCCAGAACTTGAGGGCACAAATGGCATCTCTGTGTAATCATCGATGCGATTATCCAGAATTTTGTTTAATTCCATCGCCATGTGGTTGTATATATAGCAGATGCATTCTGGCATGAAGCGGCGGTTTGCAGATTCTCCCCAAGAACCCACGACGAACCCAAGAGACTAAGTTCGCGATGAACCCAGCTTGTGGGTTCACGACAAACCCAGGCACCTGGGTTCATCGTGAACCTAGGAACCCACGACGAACCCAGAAGCCTGGGTTCGCGATGAACCCAACTGGTGGGTTCGCGATGAACCCAACTGGTGGGTTCGCGACGAACCTAGGCGCCTGGGTTCGTCGCGAACCCAGGGCCCACGACAAACCCAGGAGCCTGGGTTTGCGATGAACCCAGGCGCTTGGGTTCATCGTGAACCAAGGAACCCACGATGAACCCAGGCGCTTGGGTTCAGAACCTAGCTCCTGGGTTTGCCTGGAGGAAAAAGAAAAAAGAAAAAGAAAAAGAAAACAGAGAAAGGAAAGGATGGAGAAGAAGATAAGACGAACCCAGGCTCCTGGGTTTGCCTGAAGGTAAAAGAAAAAAAAAAAGAAAAAAAAAACCGGAGAAAGGAAAGGATCGAGAAGAAGATAAGGGTATATAAGTAATTAAAAGTAAAAAAAGTTAGGCCTGTTATCGACTTTTGTGAGGTGGATTTTCCACGTAATCTAAGTAAAAAATAAAATAAAATTTTCCGTTAATTAACTTGCCACATCAGACAAAATTTAACAAAAGGACTAAAAAGGGGCCGGATTTTAAAATTTAAGAACAAAAAAGGGGATTTTTTCGGTATAGGGACTAAAAAGGGGCTTTTTCCTATAGTAGAGGGACCAAAAAGGGTATTTAACCAATTAGTTTTGAAAAAGTTTGAATGTGTAGTATTTTCAAAACTTACTTAAAACTCACTTAAAAAGCTAATTTTAAGTGTTTTCTTCTAATTTTAAAAGGCAAAGAGGAGAAAGAGGCCTACTTTAATCTTCAAAGCAGCTGTTGAGAAGGCATATGATAGTGTTAATTGTAATTTTCTTGATTGTATGTTGGAGAAGTTGGGGTTGGGTGAAAAATGGCGCTCATGGATCCAGGAATGTTTAGCCTTTGCAACTATCTCAGTGCTGGTGAACAAGAGTCCTACAGATGAATTTAAAATGTTAAAAGGTTTGCGGCCAGGCAACCCACTTGCTCCTTTCTTATTGTTGGTAGTGGTTCAAGCTCTTAATGGACTAATTACAAAAGCTATAGAGGAAGGGTTGCTAACAGGATTATCAGTTGGTTCAGGGGACCTTGCTATCACACACCTGCAATTTGTAGATGACGCAATCATTTTCAGTAAGGCATCTCCACAGAATGTTTGGGTAATAAAAGGCATTTTCAGAAGCTTTGAACTCATCTTTAGCCTTAAGGTGAACTTTTTAAAAAGTTCTTTATCTGGTATTAATGTGGATGGTGAGATGTTGTCTGATATGGTTGACTTGATCAATTATGTGGTGGGTGATATCCCTTTCAAGTATCTTGGGGTTCCTGTCGGTGCTAAGTCTAGCAAGTTATCTACTTGGTCTCCTATAATTGAATGCTTAAGGAGGAAATAGTCTTCTTGGCAATGTGATTCTCTATCCTTTGGTGGGTGTATTATTTTCGTAAAAGCTATCCTTTTAAGCACCCCAATTTATTACTACTCAACACGAACACCCAAAAAGGTAATTAATCTTTTATCTCTAATTCCAAGAAGATTTTTGTGGGGTGGTAATGAGCAATATAATAGGATTTCTTGGATTGGGCGGGACAATGTATGTAAAAACAAGGACAAGGGAGGCTTAGGTGTGAAGAATCTAGGAAACTTTAATGTAGCTTTACTAGGAAAGTGGAGATAGAGATTTTTATAGGAAGAAAAATATCTTTAGAGGAGAATAGTGGAGGTCAAATATATGGTGAATAAGATGAATGAGTGGAGAGGTGATAAATGGGGTGTGCATTGCTTTAGTTGGTGGAAGGAATTGTGGCAATTAGAGTCGACGATGATTGTCAAAGAGGGATGGTTTAGAGAGAATGTTGAGAAAGTGGTTGGGGAGGGTTCAAAAACCTTATTTTGACATGACAAGTGGATGGGGCCTATTCCTTCAAAAATTAGATTTAATAGATTGTTTAGGATATTAGGGACAGATGTATTAATCTCTAACATGGGGGAATGGAAGAATGGAAAATGGATCTAGAGATGGAGATGGAGAAGGAATCTTTTGGCTTGGGAATCTAAGCTCTTGAAGGAACTCATGGATGCATTACAAGGGAAATAGTTAATTTAGGGACAAAAGGGCTATTAGGTTTGGCAACAAGATCCCAATGGCAAATACATGGTCAAATCAGCTTACAAATTGCTTCAAATTAACTCCAACCCAAGTAGAATTTATAATTATAAGCTGATTTGGAAAAAAAAAAGTGTACCCTTAGAGGTCTCTGCATTTGTTTGGAAAGCCACATAAAACAAAATTCCAACAAAGGACAATATGTGGAAAAGGGAGTAGCAAGCGTTGAGAGGGATTTTACATGTAATTTGTGTGGATAGTATGCTGAAGACATAGACCATCTTCTATTCAGCTGTAGAACATCATGGCTTGTTTGGTCCTTGTGCTACAATTGGTGAGGTATTGATGTTCCTCACCACCATGAAGGCTGGAAACACTTGCAACAACATGTAGGATTATTTTATGAAGGAAACTCCAAGAAAGCATGGCTTGTGGTTTGGTTTACATTCATCTGATCGTTGTGGACATGGAGAAATGAGAAGGAATTTATGGGAAACACCAACACATTTGGTAATAATTTTTAGTTGATTAAGGTACAATCATTGATGTGGTTGAAAGCTAGTCTTTGGCCAAATATATCAAAGGATATATGGCTTTCAGACCCAATCTAGGCATGCAAGATGGTTATGAGTACTAAGTCCTAGTGTACAGTACTCATAACTAAAACTTTTGCTGAAACACTTTATAAGGTTTTGATTTCTGTTTTGATGTAATGTAATGTAACTAATCTTGTATAATATGAATAGGAGTACCCTTTCAAACTTGTGAAAGAGAATATTACTTTTTAAGCTCGACTAAACAATCTCTAGATGAGGGAATTGTATCCACATTTAGAAACTTCTCTCCATAAAATATTTAAAGGACATCAATTAGTACATTGTCTGATTCAATACATTGCACAATGCATTTATTAAAAAATCATTATTTTTTTATTTAAAATTTCAAATAAACAATTTAAGATACACACATGGATACAAGATGTAAGAATTGGATTTTTTTTCTTTGAAATGCAAAAGGAATTTTATTAATGAATTCAATGGGTACTAAAACCCATAAAAACATTCTAAATACAAAATTACCATTCTAGTCGATTATCGAAATTTATCTCGAGTTTAAAATCTACACATTAAAGGGTTAATAACCCAATCTGAAAATATAAAATTTGCACATTGAAGGGTTAATAACCCAATCTGAAAAGAGGCACGACCTATCTTTCCCTCTATTTACTAATATAGATAAGCACTAGCTTGGATAAGATCAAACATCATTGCTGTGTCCACTACCTTATTGTTGAATAATATACCATTTCTTGTCAGCCAAACTGTCCACATCAATGCAAACCATACTCCTTGCCAACCCCTTCTCATGTTTAAATATAGTACTGCACTTCCATGATTCACAAAGGCATGTCAGCAATTTGTGGATTTATCATCCTACAATTTCTACCAATTGTAGCATTTATTGCATGCCTCAACAACCACCTTGCACTTTAAAAACAGATAATCCCTATCTTTAATGTGCACAAGCAATAAATTAATTCTTGAGCTTGCTTTATTATACCCCTATTAAATAAATTTGTTTTCGTAGGAATTCTATCAAGCAGTGTTTGCTACACAAAACCACAAACCTTTGTAAGAAGATAAGAGTTCCATTCTCTTTTAAATTCCTTTATGTAGGTAAGATAGAAAAGGGATAATAGTTGCTGGTACCCAAATGAAGTTGAATAGTTGCCTTTCTTATCCTGCGCCCATATCTACCTATCATTTTCACCACATTGAATCGTAACATCATCCAGCTGTTTTGATAGCTACTCCCAATCTTCTATTTCTCAGTCATACAAGATGTGCCTCCTTCCTAATTTCCATTGCCACTTTCCTTCATGCCAACCTCCTATTTGATTGATTTTGTTATTCATACTTGTAGATAACATATAAAACCTTGGATATTTGTTAGCAAACAATCCACACTTACACCAAGTGTCCCTCCAAAAACTCACTCTACTCCCATCTCCAAGTCTAACAGCAAACCTAATAAAAATCCATCATACGTTCTTTTCTTTTAATACATCTATCTTGCATACATCTCTCCACCAGTTTGACCCATTTCATCTACCTTCTTAAACCCATTTAACCCAATTTTCATTCTCCCTTCCATATTTTACCTTAATAACCCTAAACAATAGATATTCCTCTCCCTCAACTAACTTACCTCACCACTTACTAAGTAAGCAAGGTTAAATTTCCTAATGTCTTTAGCTCCCAACCCTCCCCTTTTTTTGTTTTTACACACCTTTTCCTAACTAACCCAATGTAGTTTTCAAGAATTTTCACATCCTCCCCAAAGGAACTCTCTCCTAATCTTATCTATAGCCCTTACAATCCCTTTAGGAGTAAGGTATATTGACATGAGAAACACGAGTAAATACGTGAGCATAGAGTTTCCCAAAGTAATCCTTCCCTTAAGCAAGAGCTGTTGGCCTTTCCAAAAGGATAATTTCTTCTTAAAAACATCAAGTAAAGGCTTCCACAAGTCTAATCTTCTATGATTTCCACCAACTAGCACTCTCAAGTATTTAAAAGGCATATCACCTACCTTACATTTCAACAACCAAGCCATTGTCCTCATCTAGTCCTCCATTACATTTACTCCCATGAGTTGGCTTTTAGAGTAGTTTATGTTATAACCCTAAAACTAACTCAAAGCTCCTTATTATGCACTTGGCAACCCATACATTACTATTTGTAGCTTTTCCAAGCATAATAATGTCGTCTGCAAATTTAATATGTGAGAAGCAAATTCCATTCTTTCTAACTTTCACGCCCTCAAACTATTCTTTCTCCAAAACTACAAAGATAATACCATTCAAACCTTTAGCAACTATTAAAAATATAAAGGGTGAGAGATCAAGGATCACCTTGCCTCAATCCTCGATTGACCTTAAATTGATTGGTAGGACTTCCATTGATCAATACTGACATTGTGCTGGTTTGCAGACGTTCACAAATTCTTGTTCTCCACACATTTCCAAACCCTATTTGCATCAACATATAATTTAAGAATCGCCAACTCACCTTGTCATATGCCTCCTCGAAGTCAATTTTAAAGGCAAAGCTCCCCCTCTTTTGTTTTTTGGCTTCTTCAATGATTTCATTTGCTAAAACCACCCTTTCATTAAGTTGCCTGCCTTTTATAAAGGCCAATTGGTGTTCTCTAATGAGTTCTAAAATTACCAGACCAAGCCTATTTGCAAAGAGCTTAGCAACGATTTTATACATTGCACTAACCAATGATCTAAGTTGAAATTCATTTGCTTTTAACGGGATGCTAACTTTGGGGATAAATGTTATAAAAGCAACATTTGAACCAACCATAAGTATTCCATTCTTGTGGAATTCTTGGACAAAACCCACTACACCCTTTTTGATCACTTCCCACATACTTCTAGAAAAGAGAAAATTAAAGCCGTTGAGTCTTGGAGCCTTCACCACCCAATAATCCCACACTACTCTCTTAATTTCTTCTTCAGTAAATGGAGCAGTAAGTAATTAGACTTGGGAAGGCGATAATTGTTTGAAATTAATGCCACTTAAAACAAGTTGAAGCCATTTATCCTCTTTAAACGGGTCCTCAAAATGCTTAGTAATGCCTTCTTTAATCTCTTGGACCTTCTTAAGTTGTATGCCATCAACTTCAATACTGTTGATCTCCTTTTTCCTTTGTTTATTTCTAATACACTTGTGGAAGAATTTGGCATTGGCATCCCCATCTATAAACCATTGCTTTCTAGCTTTTTGTCTCCCCATGCCTTCTTAATTCTCAACCCATTCCATAGATCCAAAAATAAACCTTTTATAGCATTCACCTCTTACTTTGTCAACTGCCTTTATTTAGCTCTTAAACCAAGTTCTGTAATGCCCTCTTTAGCCTCTCTAATTCTACATTCCACTTGAGCGAACTTCTTGGAGCTCCACTCCTTAATCTTGTTTCTCACTGCCTTCAACTTTTCTTTTAAACAAAACCCCTTCCATTTATAAACCGATGTGTTTTGCCATGCATCAAATACCACTTGATAGAAATCTGGATGCTGTACCCATGCAAAAAAAAGTTTGAATGGTTTGGGACCCCAATTAATTTTTTGGTCTTTCAAAATTATAGGAAAGTGGTCAGAGACTGATCTTTTAAGACCGCATTACTTCACATAGCTCCATTTGGACACCCAATTTTTTAATAGTAGAAATCTGTCCAACCTACTCATAGTTAACCTGCTTGGATGGTACTAGGTATATTTTCTCCCAATTAAAAGTAAATTCACGAGATCCATGTCTCTGATGAAGCAATCAAAAGCTGTCATTCCTTTAGCTAAACCTCTTGCCCAACTCTTTGCTAAGAATTTTTAGTACAATTAAAGTCACCCATCAGACACTAGTGACTACATTGCCACTAATTAGAGCTTTTAATTCATCCCATAGACTTCTTCTTGTAGCAACATCACATGTGGCATAGACATTTATTAAACACACAGGAGTTTCCTCCTCACTCCAACAAGCAACAACCCGAGACTGCAATTAAATTGTCCCTTTCCAATGACTACACGCCTTTTTGTCTCAAATACACAACTAAATTGGATAAATTAATTATACTTATATTATATTTTAATGATTAAACTAAATAAATGTTGAAAGTGTGTGAAATTAAAATATGTATCAATTATTTTTTAAATTTTTAATATTTAAGATTAAACTATTAAAGACAATTTTTAAGACCAAACTATCAAAAAAAAAAAAAAAAATACTCCTTCTAATCCTAAATAACTATTATCTTTTGACTTTTTCTTCAAATTAACAATTTAAAAACAATTTAAATATTTTTATTTATAGTATCCTTGAAAAAGAAATATAAAATAAAAAGAGAGTTTTTTTGATAGGAGGAATAATTAAAATGATGAATCGCGGTATGGTTAAAATAGAAAAAAATACTCCTATTTGTTTAGTTAAAAAAATAAAAAAATATATATACTGGAATTTATTTAGGATAAATTTAAAGTGAAAAAACGCAATTATTTTGGAAATGAAACTACCTGTGAATATAAAAGTAAAACTCTTTGTTTTTCTTTGGCAAAACCATAAGTTAAGCCCCTGAAC